CCCTCTACGACCGCCTTCTTCTCCCGCACCCTCCCTCTCCTTCTCATTTTCAAAAACTCCTCCTCCCTCCTCTCGAAGAAGAAGAAGAAGAAGAAGAAGAAGAAGAAGAAGAAGAGAGGGAAAAAAAAATTATGAGGTGGGGACTAACGAAGAAGAAGAACCCCACCCAAGAGGAGCTCGCCACCACCAACATCGACGACGACGTCGACATCGGTACCGAAGAGTGCAGACCCTCGTCCTCTGCGTTCTCCATCTCAAACCTCCTCCCTCTCTCCTCTTGGCTCTCCAGGCTCAACAAAACCCAAGGCCCAAGCAGCCACCAAAGCCGCGCCCGCACCCAAACCCTTGCTCTCACCTCCAATCCCCGCCGCCCCCCGCCGCCTCTCCTCGACGGCGGCGACGACGCCGCTCTCCGCGCGCCCCCTCCGCCGCCGCCACCTCTCGCTCGGGTCGAGCTCGAGCTCAGGCCCGAGGCCCACCGCCGCCGTCCCGCCGCCAGAAGCCCAAAAGTCTCAAGCCCATCAAGACGAATTCCGTCCCCGACCCGGATCCGGTAAGGCCCGGGCGGAAGTCGTTTCAGCGGATCCGGCCCAGGGTTCGGGTCTGCTCCCCGAGGCTGAACCCGAACCCGAACCCGAAGGCGTTGGAGAGCTTCGCGGTGGTGAAGAAGTCGAGTGACCCGGTGAGGGACTTCAGGGAGTCGATGGTGGAGATGATTTTGGAGAGGAGGATCGGACGGCCGGAGGAGCTCGAAGGCCTGCTGGCGTGTTACCTGGCGCTGAACTCCGATGAGCATCACGACGTCATCGTTAAGGTCTTTAGGCAGGTTTGGTTCGAACTGAACCGGGTTTTGGACCCGGTTCGGTTTCGGGGTCGATGTTGAGTTTTTTTGTAATAATAATTCTCTGCTCTGTTTTGCCTTTTTTTTTGGTAAGTTATTGACTCGTTACGTGGTGTATTTCGAGGCTTCTGTTAGTGTTACGGGTTATAACTAAGCTAAATAAGCTAATTATGTTACCGGAATTCTATAAATAAAAAATCTGCGTGATTTTATGACTTCAATGCTTCAAATGAAAGAATTTGATAGTCTATAAGTTAAGAAGCTATAAAAATATATTTATGAAGTTTTGACAACATGTTTTGATCGGGCAAGACGGAACTGGTGTTCAATTTTGTGACGTATCATGAACTTTGGTGTATGGATGTATGAGTTTTGCTACGGGGACCCAAAATACGGGACCAATAAAAGGGACAAGTGAGGTGTCTCCTTCTTAGATAATGAATTGGCCATCATTAATGATGGCCAACTCATTATCTAATAGTAGGAGGACACCTTACTTGTCCCCTCTATTGGTCCTATATTTTGGGTCATTAAGGAATTTTTCATAGTTTAATATGGATGTAATTAATAGTAGTATATATTCTCTATTCATGTTGAAAGTTGCATTAAAAAGTTAAATCACAGAGTTGCATCGAAATACAAAGACACAAGGAGTTATTCCAAAATACAGGAAGGATTTTGGGCGTTATATCTGAAAACCCAATTACATCACAACGACAATACAAGTCTAGTTGTTACGTTTCTCACAATACAACAGACCATGACTTGCTACATTTTACAGAGCCTGGCGTATCCATCTCTCACAAACTTACAACAGATTCAACTTGCTTCATCCACAACTTGGCATCTTACAAGAATCGCTCTCTCTGATCAGAGAGACTACGAGAAGATGTAAACTTCATCGTAGCCCTTCCTGTAAAAAAAAACCATGAAAAAATGCATAAAATTTTACTTACAAGTAAACCATTTTCATCGCGCATTAATGTGTCGGTTATAGAGCGTCTCGAGTCTTACCCTGCCTTGCCTCCGTAAGTTGGGGGGTAATTGTAAATGAGATTGTCCCTTACTTTCTGCGCTGGAGGTCTACTTGAAGATTTCCTAGCTTCTCTGTAGAAAATTAAACTTGGAGGTTAATCGAAATTGGATGTTTTATTTATTTTTTTCCCCCACATTGTTTACATGAGGAAACTACGATTGCATGAGGTCATTCTCTCTAGGTTATGATCAGAGTAAGCTCCTAAATTTAACGCACTTTTGTTGTATAAGAATTTTTAGTTGTAAGCGTGGAGTAAATCTTTAAGGATTAGACTGAATAGAAACGAGAAAAACTCAGCTGCGTCTCGAGGGATTAGTTGAAAATCCACATGTTGAGAATAAGGGATCTTTGAGGTACACGAATCTACAATGTTGGATATGAGGGATATATCGATGTCAATGTTGGATATCATACTTGTCCAAGAGCCCAACTAATTATCAAAATATTAGAACTAACTTATATTATGGTTTATCTGTTTATATATGAATTTATGCTGATGTGGTCGCTCCATTGCTGATAGACAATACTCCCATTTGTAAGTGTTATGTTTTGACCCAAATTGCTATTCGGGCCCATTGGGCTTTGTATCTTTAATATGTAGATTCTTTTGTATGAGAAATATTTAAGTCTAATATAATTTACCGTTTGAGTTGTCTTCTTGTCTCTCTGGCTCTCTTCCTCTTCTTCTCAAAATCCTCTTCAAAAGCCTAACAAATTGGTATCAGAGCAGCCGTCGCCGTCAGATCCGCCTCCGATCAAGCTTCCGCCTCCGATCAAGCTCCGCCGACGACATCAGATCAAGCCCTAGGTCTTCGTCGTTGCTGCCTACATCAGATCAAGCCCTAGGTCGTCATGATGTCAAAGCCTTAGGTCGCTGCTACCTCGTTTCTAGAAGGTTCCAGAGCCTCGTGCCTCTCATTGATCTCGTCGTTGTCGTTCTCCACCGATTGCATCAGATCCGAGTTCGCCGTCGAGCAGCAACAGTCGACCGCACCGGACTCCCTCGTCTTTGATCCGTCGAGCAGCCGCCCTCGTTTGATAGGCTTGGGTTTTATATTGGGGATTTTGTCCATTTTGACCATTCGCTGCTTAAATTGAACCAGAGGTTCGGAGTTTCTTTTTCTGGGGTGTTTGGTGTTCTGATTAAATTTGAAGCTGTGTTGAATTGAGTTTTTGTGGAAAATTAAATGGATATGCCGGCAAAGTATGATATTGAGAAGTATGATGGGAAGACGAGTTTTGCACTTTGGCAAGTGCGGATGGTCGCCATATTGTCCAGTCTTGGAATTAAGGGCCCAATATATGATAGAGATAAGTTGGTTGAAGCCGTTACCGACAAGAAGTGGTGAAGCCGTTACCGATAAGAAGTGGCTAGATATGGATGATAAACTCTCTCGACCATCCAATTGTGTTTGAGCAATTCAACACTTCAAGAGGTCCTTTCGGAAAAGACCGTCAAGGATTTATGGACGAAATTGGAGAATATCTACATGAAGAAGTCTTTTACCAATCGATTGCGATTAAAGTTGCGCCTCTACACTCTTCGTATGGTAGAAGGTACATCCATTTCCGATCATATTTCAGAGTTTGCATCATTGTTAAATGATTTGGACAAGTTGGGTGCTAAGGTAGAGGATGAGGACCAAGCTTTATTATTGTTATGCTCATTGTCAGCTTCTTATAAGGCTTTTAGAGACATAATGATCTATAGTAGAGATCAAATCACTCTTGAGGATGTGAAGAGTAATCTACAAGCTAAGTTACATATTGATAGTGAGATGACCAATTTGGAGAAAGAAGATCAAGGCGTTGGTTTGGTTGTTGATCGGGGTAGGTTGAAGGACAAAACCCCGAAATTTTCAAAGACCCGTTCAAAGTCAAGACACAAGAATCTCACATGTAATTATTGTAAGAAGAAGGGACACATTCTAGCCGATTGTTTCAAGCTCAAGAACAAACAAAAGGCGGATAAAGGTGCTTCTTCGGGAGAGGCCAATGTGGCCAATTGTGACACGGTGGATACTTTGTGTGTGGTTGATACCAACATTGATGACAAGAATTGTTGGGTTATGGATACGGGTGCATCACAACACGACTCCGAATAGAGATTGGTTTAAGACTTATGAGCCTACGGATGGTAAGGTTCTCATGGGGAACAACAACATGTGTAAGGTTGCCGGAATTGGTTCGGTGACAATTAAGTTCCATGATGGAAATGTCCGAAGGTTGACGGGTGTTAGGCATATACCCGATTTGTCAAAGAATTTGATTTCTTTGGGGTCTCTTGAGGAAAATGGGTGCAAGTTCCAAAGTGAAGGTGGAGTCCTTAGGGTTTCTAAAGGGGCTCTCACAATCATAAAGGCGAAGAGAATTGGAACTCTTTATTTCCTACAAGGTTCCACGATCACGGGCTCGGCCGCCATTGCGCATTCATGTACTATCTCGGATGCGGATGCTACAAAGTTGTGGCATATGAGATTGGGGCATATGAGCGAGCGAGGAATGGCCATTTTGAGCAAGAGAGGCTTGTTGTGTGGCCAATGCACGGGCAACTTGGAGTTTTGTGAGTATTGTGTATTTGGCAAGCATAAGAGGTTGAGCTTCTCCACGGCCATTCATTCGACCAAGGGGACATTGGACTACATCCATTCGGATCTTTGGGGACCTTCTCGTGAGTCTTCCAAAGGTAATGGTTCTCGTTACATGCTTATTTTCATTGATGATTTCTCAAGGAAGGTTTGAGTTTATTTCTTGAAAGAGAAAAGTGATGTGTTTCGTACCTTCAAAGAATGAAAGTCACTTTTGGATAACCAAACGGGAAGGAAAGTCAAGAGGTTGAGAACCAATAATGGTTTGGAGTTTTGCAACCGTGAGTTTAATAATTTTTGTAAGGCTGAAGGGATTGTTCGGCACAAAACGGTGGTCAATACTCCTCAACAAAATGGTGTTGCGGAAAGGATGAATAGGACACTACTCGAGAGGTCTAGGAGCATGCTTTCAAATGCAGGTTTGGGTAAGAAGTTTTGGGCGGAAGCCATTAACACGGTTTTCCACTTGGTGAATCGATCTCCTACCACTTCAATTGAGTTGAAGACACCCGAAGAAGTGTGGTCGGGTAAGCCGACCGATTATTCGAATTTGAGGGTGTTTGGTTGTCCCGCTTATGCACATGTGAATGAAGGAAAGTTGGAGCCTAGATCGAAGAAGTGTGTTGTTGTTGGGTATCCCAAAAATGTGAAGGGGTATAAATTATGGTGTCCTGAATCATCCAAGTTCTTTATCTCGAGAGATGTCATTTTCAATGAGTCGGCAATGTTGAAGGCAAATGAGGTTGCATCCGAGCTGATTATTAAGGAGAATGAGACGGTTGAGAAGAAGGTAGAGTTTGAGGAGCCGGTCCAAGAAGGTGATGATATTGTTTGCGTCAAAAGTTGGTCTCGTTATGGAATTCATTATATCTTCGGTCGATTACAACAAATTCAAAAGAGATAGCCTTTTTATAAGACTTCTTTTACACAACAAAAGGAATATTACAACTTTTTAGAAACAAACGCAAGATCGTTGTTTGGATCACTGCTTGGTGGGATCTTTGCCTGTGCCGGGGGTGCGTTAGCCCGTGGACCACCAAATCACAGATTCTGATTGAATCGTGAAGGTTTTGGGAATTCTTCCTTCGTTTATCGAAGTAAGAATTTAAAGCGAATATCTTATCGATGTAAGATGTTCACTCTTCCAAAGATCAAGTCTGATCTTAGATCTCTAGGAATCGTCCAAAGCTTCTTGAGGATGTTTGTGAAGAAGGAAGAATCTCTCTCTTGCTCTAATTTACCAAAAACTCAAGCCTTTTCTGCTCTAATCTGCCCCTCTCTGCCCCCTCCCCTTTATTTCGTGTCTAGGGAGGTATTTATAGGGGTAGGAGTGCACAACAGTTGAAATGGAGGCGAAACAATTGACCAAATAACTGTTCTTTGGCCGCTGCAGTCTATACTGCCGCGGCCATTGGCGCGGCAGTATAGGCTACCGCGGCCAAAGAGTCGGTTACCAGCACGTTCCATCGTGCTTGAAACTGTCCTCCCACGACCTTTAACCACCTTTTTCGTGGTTTAACTGCTTGTCCACGTCAGCACACGTTCTATCTTTGATATGCTGCCACGTGGGCTTCAAATAATCATCGTACAACTGTCTTGTAACCGCCATAGCACTCTCCTATAATAGCCGCGGCACCATAGGTTGTCGCGCTATAGCCGCGGCACCATATGCTGCCGCGCCATGGCCGCGGCACAATGATCTGCCGCGCCTGAGCCGCGACACCAAGCGCTGTTTGGTTGTGTGTACATGTCGTCTCACTTCCTTTGAATGATTCCCCCTGATTAAGAGAATGACGTTTATCGCCTTTTCTTTGCCTTGAGTGGTATTTGGATGTCTATAAGCATTTTTTGACGCCTACAGATACCCCCTCCAAAGTATCTCAGATTCATCATTTCTTTAGAGAGGAGTCTGGGACACTTTGGATATGATAAGCTTTCCTTGCAATTTCTCCAGTGCTTTGTCGAGGAAATTGCGTAGAATGGTCTGTGAATGGCTTCAATCCTTGACTTCTTCATCTTTTTTAACCTATTCAGTGCTTTGTAGAATAGCTAAAATTTCTCCGGTGTTGCGTTTATCGCGTGGCCGTTGTCGAAGTCTTGAATTTGAACTGCCGTCGAAGAATAGAGACATAGTTTATACTCATATGCTCTATTGGAGTGTCCGGAAAACAGTTTAACCTCATATACCCGTTGGGAGGTAGTCAGGTTATTCTTAAGAATATTTTGAGTGATATTCTCCAGAAACTTCCTGTTGAGGGTAGGGAAACAGTTTAGACTCGTGTACTTATTGGAGTATTTTGGTCTCTTTTTTGTTGGTAGAGGTGAACCCGATGATGGAGAGGAAGAATTTTATATTCTATCTCCTAGTCTCTTTTTTGTTGGTAGAGATGAACCCAAAATCGGAGAGGAAGAATTTTATATTCTATCTCCTGGTCTCTTGTTTGTTGGTAGAGATAAACCCGGAATCGGAGAGGAAGAATTTTATATTCTATCTCCTGGTCTCTTGTTTGTTGG